CTTTGGTGGTGTTTACGCTGGGATTAAAAAGGCCCTTGGTCCTTTTCCTAAAAAAACAGCCCCCCTTAAAGAAGCGGACGGCACTGTTATTACGGATGCTCAACGCCAACTCGAACGATGGGTAGAACATTATGTTGGTCTCTACTCAGAACCAGTGAACATAATGCCAGAAGCTGCAGATTGCATGCCAAAACTAGCTACCTGGACTGAGTTAGATGATCTTCCTACCATAAGGGAGTACCACAAGGCTGTAAAGCAGCTTAAAATTGGAAAATCACCTGGAAACGATGGTACCCACGCCGAAATTATCAGGCTCAAGTGCATATTACCCATCCTGCACAATCTGTTGTGTAAATGTTGGGAAGCGGGATATATACCACAGGATATGCGCGATGCTAACATCATTACCCTATACAAAGGCAAAGGTGACCGCGGTGACTGTAACTGTTATCGTGGAATATCCCTTTAAGTATAGTAGGTAAATTATTTGCTCGGTTAGTCTTAATAAGACTCCAAAAACTTGCTGATCGTGTATATCCCGAATCGCAATGTGGATTCCGCGCCCAACGTTCCACAACAGATATGATCTTTACACTTCGCCAACTGCAGGAAAAGTGTAGAGAGCAGAAAACACCTCTGTTTGTGGCGTTCGTCGACCTTAACAAAGCCTTCGACACCGTGAGCAGGAAGGACTCTATACTGCACTTTTAAACATCGGGTGCCCTCCAAAACTTCTAAGCCTCATTAAATCCTTCCACGAGGACATGAAAGGATCTGTTGTTTTTAACGGCAATACATCTGAGCCGTTCGAAATGCGTAGAGGTGTTCGCCAAGGCTGCGTGTTGGCTCCTACCCTGTTTGGTATTTTCTTCTCATTGCTTTTAAAGTTGCTTTCGGCGATGACCAACAGGGTATACACCTGCACACTAGGGCTGACGGGAAGCTGTACAATATCTCGCTTCTTAAGTCAAAGCGTAACCGCGATGACTTATTCGTCGATAGCCTTTTGTTCGCTGACGATGCAGCCTTCGTTGCTAATTCTCAAAGTGAGCTTCAAGACATTGTTGATAAGTTTTCCCACGCTTGTTCTCTGTTCTCAATGTCCATTAATGCCAAAAAAACAGTAGTGCTAGCTCAAGGTGGAGAAACACCACGTATTTTGCTCGGTGGCGTTCCCTTGAACATAGTTGACAAGTTTTGCTACTTGGGGTCGTCTGTGTCGAACAATCTCACCCTCGATGCTGAGATCAATACTCGTATCGGCAAAGCGGCGACCATGTTCGGCAGGCTCAGTACAAGAGTATGGAATAATAAACACCTGACCACAAAAACCAAGATAATTGTTTACCAAACTTGCGTTCTAAGCATACTCTTGTATGGAGCTGAAACCTGGACTTCGTACGCAAAACAAGAACGTCGACTCAACACATTTCATATGCGCTGCGTAAGAAACATCTTGCATATAACTTGGCAGGACAGAGTCACAAACGAGCGAGTTCTAGAAATTGCACAGCTGCCTAGCTTTACCGCTTTGCTTAAGCAAAGACGATTGCGGTGGCTAGGGCATGTGTACCGCATGGAACCTTCGCGTCTACCGCGGCGTGTCCTACTTGGCGCCGTAGCTAACGCCAAAAGAGGAGTTGGAAGACCGATGCTACGTTTCAAAGATTGCGCCAAACGGGACATGGCTGCGTTTGACATCGACCATCAAAGCTGGGAGAAGCTTGCTGAGAATAGGGATGTATGGCGAAAGCGTGTGTTTGATGGGCGTAAAGCTCACGATGATGCCTGGTTCGCTGGTCTCGCAAACAAAAGGCAAAAACGACATCTAAACATGCATGTGCCAGTCTCTAATTCCACCTTCGTTTGTAGAGCGTGCGGAAAGTCATGCCGCTCCCGTATCGGCTTATACAGCCATGAAAAATCTTGCCTCAGACACTGAATAAATCGTCTGTCACAGACGTATGAGGCCAATGATGATGATATCTTAAGACAGAATACAGATTATCAGCAATAATTTAATGGTTAGTATAACTCCCATACTTAATGTTCGTAATAAAGGTTCTATACTTACCTATAGTCAAAAAGTTAATATTTCCACCAATCTTTTGATTTCGGCATCCAAACGCGGTTTTGTTTTGGCGGGATCGAGCCCCGCAGTAGATATTGCAAACAAAAGTCAAGTTTATTATTTACGAAGTGTGGCTGTGTATTGTTAACGACTTTTGGCAGCCGTATCTAGCCAGTCAAGCGTATGTGAGACCAAAACCACATCTAAAACAAATCAACTGCATTAAGATTTTATAATACGGATTCAAATAGACTGTAGGTTTACACAGTCTGTGTACTTTATTAGTTATCGTGGATTTCAGACCATTAGAAATGGTCTTCTAGGTACCAATGAGTTTCTATGTCTTAGGTACTTGAGTCATCAAAAGCAATAAAAATCCACTTCTAGATTTGAGCCTTCCCATTTCTTGAGCTAGCATTTGCCCTACTCACTACTATCAAAAATTAGAGAACCGGGCGCGTTCGCCAATACCTACTTGATTTGTACAACTATTATCGGAAATACGATATAAAAGTTCCAAAATACATTTCCATGATAGCTTCCCAACTCTTGATTCCCCAAATAACAATTCACTAAAACGACAGGTGTTTTTTAGGGTTTCGTAGTCTACTAGAAACCCTTATAGTTTCGTCATGTCTGTCTGTCTGTCTGTCTGTCTGTCTGTCTGTCTGTCTGTCTGTCGGTCTGTCTGTCTGTCTGTCTGCCTGTCTGTATGCCGCGCCCTCATATCTTCGTCAGTTTTAGAGATATCGACATGAAATTTAGTGAGAAGATAGATCGTGTTGACCCAAATATAGAAATGTTAAGAAAAAAATATTTTAAATGTTTTTTGGACCCCCTCCCATACAAGTGAAAGGGGGGCAAAAACTTTTTTTTTCTTCTGTAATATTGAGTAGGGTATCGTTGAATAGGTCTTTTAAAACTAAGGTGAGGTTTTTTTGAAACAAAGTCACTAAAATGTTTCTGTCACGAGATATTTGCTTTTAAAAAGGGCGTTTTTGACCCATAATTTGTTCCAGCTGTAACTTCTAAAGTATAAACGCTAAAAATTTGAAATAAATATGGAATATAGCTTACAGTCTGAAGTTACAATGAAAACTATAACGAATATTGTACCCTTAAAGGTTTCAGAAAAAATTGAGTTTTTCTATTTGCGGTTGGTCATCATACTGCTGCTAACAAACGAGCAACAAAAATAAGTTTGTAATGCTGAAAAACCTGATATTTAAACGTTGACTACGAAACCCTATTTGTGGGCGTGTTTGACACGCTCTTGGCCGGTTTTTTTTTACGAGAGAAGTGATTTAACGTGTCGGCGTACGACCATTAATCTCTTTTGGACGCGAATAGGAGAAGCAAAATAAACAGAACACGTTGTGAAACTGTGAGCAAAGTGTTTTGATTAGACTATAAAATGCGTAGGACAATGTCTGTTTTTTGCGTGTTTTTCGTGGTATTAACAGAATTTAATATCGAAGTAATTTAAAAAAATCGCATGAGTGTTCATTTTGCTCATCCTAGGAACATTCGTCTAACAATTTTGAAAAAACTAGCGTCACTGGACTACTAAAATTACTTACAAATAATAAAATATACACAAAGTCTAATTAAATCATCTCTTAAATCAAGGCAAACAATTAAACAAGCAGTTTTTAAATGTTGTAATGAAAAAGATATGTCCACAATGTAATAAAATGGCATAATATGACACAACAATGTCATTCTCGTCAAGATCGTTGGACTTGAAATACCTTCACACTTGCTACTGAAAATTCTTTAATTTTTAACTACATTTTTACTTGTCGTACCCGCATGACTAAGTTGCGAATCCACTAGTTAGGAAAGAATAACCAAAAAATTTATCGCCGGCAATATTTGCAATAGTGTGATTTTTGCTTGATACAATATATTTCCAGGTTTTTTATTAACACGAACATATTTCCGGGTTTCCGTTGTGGACGTATTCTGGACGTTTTTTTCCAAAATGATTTTAGTTTATTGGCGGAAATATTGTATGATTATCAAGATTAGCAAAAAAATATTGTGTAAGAGGTTTGAAATTCCAAATTGATTTTTTTGGATAGATGGTGGTAACTTTTAGCAACAAACTCTCCATAGTCTTATCAGGTGGACTCGCACATTCAAGTCTTCAAACACGTTCAGGTTACTTACGATGTATGACTGGCATTATGGAATCAGCACATTTTGTTGTCGGGACGAGTCGAACACGTTTCACCTTAAATGGGTGCTCGGATACAGAAAACGGAGTTTATTACCTTTTAATGAGCGTTTGTATTAAGGTGAAGATATATTTAGCATTGTTATTGATGTAGCTACAAGTCGCGATAAACATTGCAACAAAGTTGCCCAACACTCACTATGGGTAGAGTTTTTCTAAAGAACAAGAATGTTACTTTGAAAACTACGAGTGCGTAGGCATGTAAGGTAACTACTACCTTATTAAAATATAGGTGTCTTTTAAAATGTAAATTTCTCAAATAACAAACAAGCTAATGTGAAAATAGTAAAAAACCGTCACGAATCCAATTAGGGGACATTTTGGTGAGACTTGGTAAAAATGTTTAACATGGCATCGGCTTGCCTTTGGCTGTAAAAAGCTGCAACATTCTAGAGACGCGGCTGTCGTAAACTAAAATGCTGTAACTGAATTTAACAATAAGGACTTTTGTGGTATTGTTTTTATCTAGCAGGGTAAACAAATTGTAGTAATGACTGCAACCATTAATAAAAAAATCAACAGGGTTTCAAATAAAAAATAAACAACCCTGCTAGATCTAAGGTAAGAGAGTGGCATTGAAAAACTACAGTGCTGACAAAATTTGGGTTCTGTCAGCGCAAGCTGAGCTGTCTCCTTTTGCTTTATTTTTTCATTGCTTATAAATGAAATTAAGAAAATAAAATAATGCCATGCATCGATCGGGGCTCGAACCCGGACCACATGGATCAACGCCCCACCGCTCTGCCACTGAACTATAGATGCACTTCACAATCTCTTGATGCTTGCCTCTATGCGACGATCTAACGACTTCGTACTATTGTTGAAAGTATTAAGACAGATAATTTGCTTTGTAAGATTTAGGTAATGTAAGTGAATCAAACGGAAAAACATTAAATGTCATTTACCATGTTTTAGCATAGGACAGTCGGACTGGTAGACTCGGAAACTCGGAATATTTTGCAAGAATATCCACATCGCCACTTCAGACGTGCTTCTAACGAGACGCGGTTGGGAATGTCGAACGAATAAAAAATGCTGATCTAGCGCGGGTTCAGCTGCTGAATTTAGAGGGTTCTTCGTGATCTTTAGGGTGACGTCTTTTACCGGGAGATCAATTTCGACTGATATAAAAAGTATATCATTTTAAAGCTTAGTTAAAATGTTACTAAAGCATATATTTAATTTTATCTAAAAATCCTCCTATTTTTTATATTTAATAAAAACAAATTGTCGTACTAAAAATGAAATGAAATGAAACGAACATGCATTTTTGTTGCATTGCCATCGAAATCATATGGAACCTTCTTAGATGACGGCATAGTATCTATAAAACCTTCATGAATTATGGCAGAAGTATCAATGTTAAAAAGTAAACTGTCATTCATATCTGTCATTAAACCAAAACAAACACAAACATTGTATTTCATTCTTTTTAAATAGGTATATTTTAATGCCCTAGAACATTTTACACTTATCTATGCATCGAATTTTATTGAATACCTAAATTGTATTCAAATAGGACTTCATTCGCACATTTTGTATACTGGATTGTATTGATTTAGAGGCAAAAACACAAGAAATCATGTTATTCGATAAAAGCACAATAAATCACTAAAACCTACTGATGTAATTATTATTGACGATCCCTGGTCTGCAGGTAACGGTAAAATATGTAATAAACAATAAAAATCGCACAAAATAAGTAAAATAATTATCAAAGCTCAAAGTAAACAAATCAATTGTCAAACATATTACTTGACAACCGAGGATATTTTTGCATCTAAAGAGTTTTTAATGAGGTTGCATGTGTAGAGTAGGTAGAAAAGTAAAGGCTCCGCAGACAGGACGCGTCGCCTTGTGTCGCGTCACGTCGCGTAGCGTGTATTTCTACGCAGGCGCGCAGACCCTACCACACCGGCAAGCATAAGCAGCGCATGCCCTTACTTCAAGCAATGCAGGTCCTCGCATTGATAGTCCCAGCGACGCAGCGCACGCCCTTAAAGCTAACGCAGACCGAACGTAGCACGCGTGCGTGCGTGCAGTAATGGAATGGAGACGTCAGATGACAGACGTACGCACGCAACGCAACACCTGGGCCCCAAGTCTGCTAATTTTTAGCCATTGTAATGCCAGCGACACACAACTGTCATTCTATTGCCACTGTGATTTTCCATTAAAAACTGTTAGCAGACTACGAAATGACCAAAACCATGCAACTGACAAGCCATCGACATCCAAGTGAAACGATTTTCATTTAGCAGACTTGGGGCACTGTCATCTCTATACTATTCACTGCACGAAAGCACCCGCGCTGCGCTCCGTCTGCTCCGCGCTGTTAAGGCTCCCGCATACCGGATACGGCACGCAATGCAATTAAAATAAGAAGTCCAGAAAATGACGGGTATATGCGCACTTCACACAGTTGCATGCGTCTGCGTCTACGCGACGTAGCATTGGTCTGCTGGAGCCTTAATTAAAGAGTTTCTGGCTCGGATATGAGCTCTTTTAGCGGTGCCAAACTGAGAGTTTACCATAGTGTTGCCAGCATTATCATTATGATTACCACTTCACTTATTTAAAACACATTTTAATAAAAAACGGGGATAATTTTTTAATATATAACTTAGGAGTATTGCTTTATTAATTATGTACTTTAAACCTGTATAACTCTCACTTCAGTCGAAATTCTTCGCCCGCGTTTCATACATTTTTCCGGAGGTCTCTTTTACTAAGGTTTCAGATGTCTAGGGTACTACGTCCAAATATCCAGATTGGCCAATGATCTTGTTGTAGCTAACTAAAAGCTCAGTAGGTTAAACAATTAGATAAACTCTCTCAGGAGCGTGGAATCACTACAATTTTCACAGGATAGTTGATAATAGGACGAGAGTAACTAAGGATCTTTTCTTGAGTTATCCAATCAATCAATTTTGAGACTTTGATACGTAATGTATTCATCGCGTCTTTTCTTTCAATATTTTCTATATTCGTGCATTTGTTGGATATAATATAAGGTGTAAAAAAATCAACTGCAAATATTTTAAGGGGTGAACCAGCCCGTGAAACTGAACAACTTTCCCCAAGGAATATAGGTGAAATATGAAAAAAAAAATGGACCTCCCATACATAATAACCAGCCGGCCGAGTCAATTTGTATGGGAGGTCCAAAAATTTTTTTCATTTTTTGATCTATGTTCCTTGGGGAAAGTTGTTCAGTTTCATTGGCTGATTCACCCCTTAAAATATTTGTAGTTGATTTTTTTACATACTGTATGTAGTGATGATGACTTCTAGTCCTTAGAAGAGGAACCTTAAAAATGCCTCCCAGACAAGCATGGCGTGTTGGTCAGCAAAAAACAGGCGCGAACAAATAAGTGGAATTTCAATAAAAATCAGTCGTCGCGGCTCGAAACACTCACACGTCGAATTTCAAAGACAAAACGACAAATCTCCGGAACAATAGGCTCACTTCACAACTTTTACCTGTTCGTTTATTTATTGGCGAATTGAGTATTTTTTCGAGGTCTGCTGAATATACATGAGGAAAAGTGAATAAGCAGGTAGGTGGTGCTGCTGATGATGATGATCTCTTTGACCCATTTCAGCTATGGTGACCACTTCGACTTGGAATCCAGTCGGCACTGTTGCGCTCAGAAGTTATTGTAGTAGGTAGTAGGTTCATAACCTGTAAACAAAATACTGTACAATTCAGTACTGATCAAGTCCTCCAATCTTTGTCTAAATGTTACTTAGGTAGGTTAAGTTAACAGCATCTTGAATTGTCCTTGTACAGGATCAAATTATTCACGGCAGAATCTAATAATATTGGTTACTGAATGTAGGTGTAGTAGGTTGCTGCTACGCTGAAAGTACTCTATCCACTGTTAATTCAAGTTCGAGCATAATAAGTTCGAAGCAAAAATATTATTTAGCCTTAAAACCTATTGCGAATCCAACAGTTGAAGGCTATTTACTGAATCATACAACCATATACGAAACGCTCTCAATTGCCTATAAAGCTGTACCGAGTGCTTGTAAATCACTTGCAAAAAGCTACAAAGTTAACTAAAGCTCACTAGTAATAAAAACACTGGGTTGATCTCGACATCCACGTACATTAGAAAAATAAAAAAAAACTGTAGGTCATTTAGGTTCACGTCCATTTGGTAAAGACCAATCTGTAAACTAATTATCTTTATTAAATCATTCATACAATAATATAACTATGTGCCTACTGCCGATTGAAGTTCACCGAATCGATGTAGGAAATAAGACGCGACTTTGGCTACAAGATCAGTATAATAATATCAGATTGGAAAAATATCAACAGCACGTAACTAGCGGTGACTTGACACTGAAGATCATAGAGTAAACTTATAAATAGTTTTTGCGTCCCTAGGCAATTTCCAACACCCTCTCCTGGACGCAAACCCTCAGCATGTACGAAGACATTATTCCTTAAACAAGGCAGCTACTAAGTCATAGCATCTGCGACTTCTTAAATCGCATTGGTGGCCTTTTAGAAAACCATCTTGCTGCTGCACCCCGGAAATCAAAAATACGCCCTCTAAAAGAACTTCTGTTCTCGGGGTTGCATGCCCTGTTCACAGAATGAATTAACTTGGCTTCTTTATTCTTGGCCATTGCATCATTATTTCTTTCTGATGAACTAGCTAGACTATTATCAGCCTGCGAACAATTTGTCGCTCGATTTTCGTTGCTTTTCAGCTCTATCTCAGTCTTTTTAATATGTATATTTACTTTTCGTTCTTCCTTATCTTCATTTTCTGCACAAACATTTTTATAATTTTCCTTTATAGGTTTGCTGTTTTTCGTCCTTTCTTTCTTTTTCAGTTTCTTTCCTGTTTCAATAGGCAAAGGTAGAACCATTGTTTTCTCTTTTACTGACGTGGTGCAGGCTTCTGTTTTCGTTATTACTCTATAAACACCATCAACAAGCTCTGCTTCGGCCACCTTTTTTCGTTTAGTATTTAGTAAGTAGCATCCAGTTGGATGAAAGTCCACCCAGCTCTTATTTTTAAAGATCGTACTTACTGACAATAGATTAGTGGACAGCTGTGGTACATACAGTACGTTTTTAATTTTTATTTTCACTAGTTCTCCATTTCCAGCTGGTACCTGAATTGTGACATTACCAAAACTTTCTACATTCAGCATTCTATCGTCACCAATGCGAACTGTGTTCACCGGTGGTGCGATTTCCTCCTCAAGCCATTCCCGGTGCATTGTCATGTGCATTGTGGCTCCGGAGTCTACGTACCAGTTCGTGGAGTCATTTATTTGCGCTGCTGAAAACGCTGCCACGTACTTGTCTTTCTCACTCTCTTTTTTCTTTTCACGGTACCAACAATTCTCGCTCAGGTGCCCATACTTATTGCAAGCATAACAACGGGGGCCCTTAGAGTGAGACGGTTGCTGGTAGGTTCTCTTGTGGGGAGTCCTCTTACAATTTGTAAAGAAAGCAGCAGCGGTTGATTCGTCGGACTTATTTACCTCTTGAAGTAGTTTGGTCTTAATCAGATCTGCGTTAATCTTTACTCCTGAACTTTCAATCCCCATAATCATGGGCCTATATTCGTCCGGTAGGCCGGCTAGCATGAGTGTCCCGAGCCATTCGTCATTCACATCAAACTTAATGTTTCGGAGTTTGTGTGCTGATGACATTATTTTATTTACATAATCTTCTGTGCTCGCGCTGTTTTCCAGGGTTGTATTTATTAAATCTTTTAGTAATTCGACTT